CCTTCCCTCCCTTCTGCTTCGCTGCATTCCCATTCTCCCCCTGCCTGCTCACAATCTCCACTTCCAGCCTCAGCCGTGTCATCCTGCCTGTCATCCCCTCTCCCCTCCCTGCATACCCCTCTTCCTGTCCTACCCTCTCTGCGCATCTCTTCCTTCCCGACCCTCTCTGCGCCTCTCCCCCTCTTTTGCCCTCCCGCCTCCCCTGCTATACTATTCCCTCTTGTTACCTTCCCTGCCATCCCTCCAACGCTGAAAGCGATCTCAATGTGTTTTTCCTCACATGCCTTCCAAAACCTGATTCCCTTCTCCTCACTTCCCCCTCTGATTCCCCCCACCCCCCCCGACCTGTTTCCACTCATCCCTCCCCCCCCCCCCCCCTTCCCCCCCCTGATTCCCCTCATCCTCCCCCCCCCCCCCCCCCCTTCCTCTGATTCCCCTTATTTCCTCCCCCCTTGATTCCCCTCGTTTTCTCAATGATTTCCCTCGTCACAGCTTGTGGTTGAATCATTACCGTTTTTTTATTCCCCGCCCTTGGTTTCTTTCCCCTTCCCTGACTATTTCAGTGACTGACTGCTCTGAAGATTTCAAGCTTCAACACGCCTCAGCCAATCACCTCATGTCAAAGCAGCTAATATTTGTTGCCAGAGGCATAGATAAAGGGTCAATAGTACGGCATTGCTCCTCTTGGCCTTTGTCTACAGTATAAAGTTATGTGAGGACATGCTGTTTTCTACCCATACGGGATGTGACACCTGTCAGTGCATCTTGGAAGGATATTGCACTGCTGAATCGTGGTAGTACATAGTGGGCTTCATGACAAATGTCTCTAAGAATAACCCACTACCATACTTGCATTACAACGCTCACGAGACAAAACAAAAGTGGGGGCAACCATCCACCAGATACGCCTCTGCTTATAACTGCTGCCCTCTGTTTCAACACAGCCGATTAGCAGAGTAGGCAAAAACGACTGTGTAAGGCCCAAAGGGAAGGTGTTCTGAGGCAGAAGGGAAGAAACAACAAAGGAATTCAAGAAAGTGATGGCACTACATGCATAAGAACTTGAGGGTAGACGGTGGCGAGTGAGGGGGGAGGGGTGGTCATGCAAGGGACGGGAAGGGAGAAGGGATGGGAAAGGGAAGGGTGGAGCAGGGAAGGGAAGGGCAGGGGGGCGGGAAAGGAAGGAAGGTCACTGAAGGGAAAGCCAGGAAAGAAGGGGATGGATTGGGCGGACTGGCGTTGTGTAATAACGCAGGCGGCAACCCCGACTAGGCCACGAACTCGTCGGGATGTAACGCACTGCTTCACACACCCTCGCAACAGCGCAGAGGTGCTGGCCACCAGGACACGACACGGGAGGGGAGGTGCGAAGCAGGGAGAGGAGATGCGAGCGCGGGGGAGAGCGAGTGAGGAAGGCAGGGAGAGCGGTGATGGGAAGGAAGGGATGGGAGATGGGAAGGCAGGGTTGCGTGTGAAAAGATGAGAGCAAGTGGGAGGAGCAAGAACGCGGGATTACGACACTAGAAACAAATAGCCGGCATGCTCACTGCCATGTCAGCCTGCATGCCGGCAACTGCTGACGTGGCAGCAGTGGTGGCGGAAGGGGCGGCAGCAGCAGAGGCGAGGGTGAGCGAGGTGAATTGGGCCACTGCTATAGCCGTTTCCTTGTCTGCATCTCGAGTGACTGAGGAGGCCCAAGGGGTCATAAAGGGCGGCAGGGTGCAGCACGAGGTGGGTTGCCTCTTCAGCGAGCTATGATTGGCCGTTGATGAGAGCCAATTGCAAGGCCGGCAGCCAGCGCTATGGTGTCAAACACGAGCTTCACCTGCAGTAGTCGGCAGAATGGCACGGTGGGGGCAGGGAAGGGGAGAGACGAAGAAGGCGACAGCAGGATTGTATGTTGGGCAGAAAGACAAGTTAAGTTGTGGGCTAATGGTGGGAGAGGAGGGTTGACAGTTGAAACTCGGCTTTCACTGCGAGTAAGGGAGTGTGAGTGCACGGCAGCAGTTTGTGTGTGCACAGCAGCACAGCAGCGCCATAACACCCACATGAATAGCCAGGTCTTGGGAAAGGAGGGGATGCAGGGAGGGAAAGGAGGGGATGCAGGGAGGGAAAGGAGGGGATGCAGGGAGGGAAAGGAGGGGATGCAGGGAGGGAAAGGAGGGGATGCAGGGAGGGGAAGGAGGGGATGCAGGGAGGGAAAGGAGGGGATGCAGGGAGGGAAAGGAGGGGATGCATGGAGAGAAAGGAGGGGACGCAGGGAGGGAAAGGAGGGATGCAAGGGGGTGCATGCATGCCGGCGGAAAAGGGAGTGCGTGCGGGGCTAGTGAGCGTGCGGGGGAGCGAGTGCGCGCGGGGCAGCGATTGCGCGCGGGGGGAGCGAATTTAGCGAGGCGCGCGGGGGGAACGAGCGCGCGGTGGGGGAGCGAGTGAGCGCGGGGGGATCAAGTGCGCTCGGGGGCAGCGAATGCGCGCTGTCGGAGCGAGCGCGTGCGGGGGGGGCGAGCGCGTGCGGGGGGGCGAGTGCGCGCGAGGGGAGCGAATGCGCGCGGAGGGAGCGAGTGACCGCGGGGAGGTCGAGTGCGCGCGGGGGCTGCGAATGCGCGCTGGGAGAGCGAGTGCGCGCGGGGTGAGCGAGTGCGCGCGGGGGGAACGATTGCGCGAGGGGGGATCGAATGGGCGCGGAAGGAGCGAATGCGCGCGGGGGGAGCGAATGCGCTCTGGTGGAGTGAGTGTGCACTGGGGGAGTGAGTGCGCGCGGGAGGAAGGGGAGGAGGAGGGAGTGGGGCGGAAGGGACGGCGGATGACGATTTCACCGAATGTTTGTCGACGAACCCGCGGAATGTTCGACGGCGCGCCCAACTAGGGACGACGTGCTCGCCGAATGCAACGCGGCGGCCTGGATGAGTGGGTAGATTGCGGTCGTTCAGTGAACCCTAATATTCAGCTTATGCGAACTCACGAGATGGTTTAGTGGCCGTGATGTCTGGTCTGCCGGCCCAAGCACTAATCTATTGTGAGAGTCGTGGGGTAGACTAATAGAAGCTAATTAGCTGATTCATACCCTGGCTCCAATACTTGGTGTCTGGTGACGAGTAAGTGCCTCTCTTTTGTGCAGACACGATTCTCTCGAAGTGGTGGAGGGGCTCGGACTTTTCGCCAAATCTCTCGCAAGCTGTTTCACTTTCGCTAGGGCGAAATCGTTTTAGGTACTGTAGTCATTCCAACAGTACTGCCAAATGTATACTGCTGCTTTAACACGGCTGTTTTCTTTGTTTCTATTTCACAGCACACAGGGGCTTCCTCGATCAGCACTGTGCGTCTAACGCGACCAGCAGCGCGGAGCTTCCGCAATCAGCAGAGTGCGGCTTCTCTCCCCCGCCGATCAGCAGCGCGGAGCTTCCGCAATCAGCAGAGTGCGGCTTCTCTCCCCCGCCGATCAGCAGAGTGCGGCTTCTCTCCCCCGCCGATCAGCAGAGTGCGGCTTCTCTCCCTCGCCGATCAGCAGCGCGATGCTTCCGCGAGCAGCAGCGAGCGCGGCTCGCGCGAGAAGCACTACGTGCGTGCGTACGTTGTCACATCCGCCAGTAAACCCTCCTTCTTCCACCTCGTATCTTCCCCGTTGTTCACGCATCTCTTTTCTCGTAACCGAACCGTCGCCGCTCGGTGTGTACCTTTCTGCGGGCGCATTTACTCAGTCCTTCCTGTTGCAGCCCGTTATGTCCGCCCCGCCCCCCTCTCCCTCCCTATTTTCTCGTCCCAGATCCGGCAGTTGCGAGCTGGACAAGGCCGGCAGACCCATTTCGCGCGTGCGTCCGACATCCGCAGACCTCTCCTCTCCCACGAGCTGACTTTTGAGTCGACTCAAAAGTCAGCATGATCGGCGCGGCAGCTGAGGGCGCGCGCGCATGAGCAGGTGGCGGCACGCGCGCATGAGCAGGCTGAGGGCGCGCGCGCATGAGCAGGCTGAGGGCGCGCGCGCATGAGCAGGCTGAGGGCGCGCGCGCATGAGCAGGCTGAGGGCGCGCGCGCATGAGCAGGCTGAGGGCGCGCGCGCATGAGCAGGCTGAGGGCGCGCGCGCATGAGCATGCTGAGGGCGCGCGCGCATGAGCAGGCTGAGGGCGCGCGCGCATGAGCAGGCTGAGGGCGCGCGCGCATGAGCAGGCTGAGGGCGCGCGCGCATGAGCATGCTGAGGGCGCGCGCGCATGAGCAGGCTGAGGGCGCGCGCGCATGAGCATGCTGAGGGCGCGCGCGCACGAGCAGGCTGAGGGCGCGCGCGCACGAGCAGGCTGAGGGCGCGCGCGCATGAGCATGCTGAGGGCGCGCGCGCACGAGCAGGCTGAGGGCGCGCGCGCACGAGCAGGCTGAGGGCGCGCGCGCATGAGCAGGCTGAGGGCGCGCGCGCATGAGCAGGCTGAGGGCGCGCGCGCATGAGCATGCTGAGGGCGCGCGCGCATGAGCAGGCTGAGGGCGCGCGCGCATGAGCATGCTGAGGGCGCGCGCGCATGAGCAGGCTGAGGGCGCGCGCGCATGAGCATGCTGAGGGCGCGCGCGCATGAGCAGGCTGAGGGCGCGCGCGCATGAGCATGCTGAGGGCGCGCGCGCATGAGCAGGCTGAGGGCGCGCGCGCATGAACAGGCTGAGGGCGCGCGCGCACGAGCAGGCTGAGGGCGCGCGCGCATGAGCAGGCTGAGGGCGCGCGCGCACGAGCAGGCTGAGGGCGCGCGCGCACGAGCAGGCTGAGGGCGCGCGCGCATGAGCAGGCTGAGGGCGCGCGCGCATGAGCAGGCTGAGGGCGCGCGCGAGCATCAACATGGGTAGCAGTGCGTCTAGCAGAGCATGTGCACTTCCCCCTCATGACAGGCGACGACCTCGATGGCATGGTGCTCAAGGCACCCCTCTCTTCAGCATCATCCCTAGCTTTAACACTCTTGTTCCCTCTCCACCACTCTCCACCGCTCTCCACCACAGGCGGGCAGCAGTGCGTCAAGCGGAGCACGTGCGCTTCCCCCTCATGACAGGAGATGATTTAGAGGACGTGGTGCTCAAGGCACCTGAAGTGGACAGCCCCGAATGCCAGGCGCTGGTGAGTGGTGATGGGTGGTGGGGAGAGGCTGAGACAGTCCCCGCTCAGCCTCTTTCTCTCGCTCTTTCCCGGTGACTTTTGAGTCGACTCAAAAACTTCACTGTTGTCCCCTCCCCTTCCCTCCCGTCCTTTCTACCCACTTCGTCCCTCTCTCTCTCTCCTTCTCTCTCCAGGCACCGGCAGTGGCAGCAATGGTGGAGTCTGCCACGTTTGGGATCGGTGGGAAGCGGTTCTACCTGTCAGCTCGCCTCAGCAAGGGGTGGGGCGGTGAGGGCTTACAATCAGCACTCTCCACTTTCCCCATCCTCCCCCCCCCCTCATTCCAGGCACTAGCAGTGGCAGCGACGGTGGAGTCTGCCACGTTTGGGATCGGTGGGAAGCGGTTCTACCTGTCAGCGCGGCACGGGCGGCGGGACGATGGCACGGAGACTCTTGACATTCACCTGCACCTGGAGAACAGCCACAGCGTGCAGCCGGAGATCCAGGTGTGTGCGTGCTGTGCTGTAGGTGCAAGCACAGACCAGTCGTGTGTGGGATGGCATGGCATGGCAGGCGGGACGATGGCACAGAGACGCTTGACATTCACCTTCACTTGGAGAACAGCCACACCGTGCAGCCGGAGATCTAGGTACTGTTTGGTTGGATTGTAGCGCGATTGGTGTTGTGCGCGGTATGGCAGGTGGGACGATGGTACACAGACACTTGACAATCACCTTCTCTTGGAGAACAGCCACAGCGTGCAGCCTGAAGTACTGGTATCACCCATAACGTCCAGTCCAGGTGTGTTGTATTCTGAGAGCCCCAGACTCATAGCAGGTGGGACAATGGCACGGAGACACTTGACATTCACCTGCACCTGGAGAACAGCCACAGCGTGCAGCCGGAAATACAGGAACGGTTTGGTTGGGTTGGGTTAGGTTGGGTTGGGCTGCGCTGGGTTGTAGCATGATTGGTGCATGATTGGTGCATGCACAGTCCAAGTATTGGTGGGATGGCATGGCAAAGCAGGTGGCCGGAGGTCACCAAGGGCTTTGTATCGCACCCATCTCCCCCCCCCCCCCCCCCCACACATGGTTCTTTCAGTTGAGCTTTATATTCTACGGTATGCCAAGAGGTGGCCCGAGGGCCAGTTCGACTACCTGCGGGACCGCGTGACCAAGGTCTTTGCCTCCCCCTCCTCCTTGCCCCCCCAATCTCTTCCCACTACCACCCCCCCCCCTGATTCCTTTCAGGTGAGCTTCATATTCTATGCCAAGAGGTGGCCGGAGGGCCAGTTTGACTACCTGCGAGACCGCGTGACCAAGGGGCTTGGGCGCAACACGAGCAACTGGGGGTACAGCAACATTCTGGGGCGGCCGTGGGCGGATGTGGTGCAGGACGAGAGTGTCAAATATTGGTAGCCTGTAGTGAGGTTTTTCTTAGGGGGTACGTATGTTAGGGTTTGCTACTTGTACCCCAACCACCATCAATGAAACAACGCTTCTGATTCTGACATGGTATCACCTAGGTTAGGATCCTGTAGGATCCCGTTCCTCCCGTGCACGTACGTTTCGCCCGAGCCTGTTCCGCACGTTCCGCTCGTTCCGCTCGTTCCACTCGTTCCGCTCGTTCCACTCGTTCCGCCCGTTCCGCTCGTTCGTTAGTGCCTGCTACGCCGACCCGCCTACTGTGTAGCGTAGCACGCTCTCCCTCCCTATCCATCGCGTCGCGCTCTCCCTCCCTACTCGTCGCGTCGCGTTTTCCCTCCCTGCCCGTCGAGTCGCGCTCCCCCCCGTCGCTGCCCGTCGCGTCGCGCTTTCCCCCCGCTGCCCGTCGCGTAGCGTCGCCCCCCCCCCCCCTGCTCGTCCGCTGCCCGTCGCGTCGCGTCGCCCCCCCCCCCCCCCCCCCCCCCCCCCCCCCCCCCCGCTGCCCGTAGTGTCGCGCCACCCCCCGCCCGCTGCCCGTCGCGTCGCGTCGACCCCCCGCCCCTGCTCGCGCCCCCCGCGCCGCCCGCCCGCTGCCCGTCGCGTCGCGTCCCCCCCCCCCCCCCCCCCCCCCCCCCCCCCCCCGCCTGCCGTCGCGTCGCGCCGTCCCCCCCGCGCGGCTGCCCTTAGCGCCCGCCCGTCGCGTCGCGCCAGGCCTATCCGCCTGCCCGCGCGTCCCTTCGCCCGCTCGCCCGCTGCGCCCGTGCCTCCCTTTCTCCCTGCGTGCTTGCATGCCGCGTTGGCCGCCACGCCACCGAGTGTTGCTACGCCACCTCGTTTTCCTATTCCGTCGATTTTAACGATGGCGACTCCGCGTGTTCTTCGCTTCGACGCTGACGGTAGACCCCTTGACTTTTCGCTCTGGCTTCTGCGCGCTCGCCGTCAGTTAGAGAGTCAGGTCCAGTCAGGCGAGACCCTCTGGGCGCACGCTACTGGTGCCCTCCCTGCGCCCCCCGACCCTACGCCTTTAGGCCCTGCCCCTGACGACGCCGCTAGAGCCCGCTTTGCTAGCCAGCGCGCTGACTTGACAGCTTGGACGTCTCGTGACGCTGCGGCCTGCATCGCGCTCAGCACCCTCCTCCCTGAGTCTGAGGAGGCTCACTTTGCTCAGGTTCGCACTGCTGCTGAGTACCTGACTGCGATTAAGGCCCGCTACTCCACTCCTGCTGCTGTCTCTCTTGGCCGCCTTTTCCTCCCGTTCCTGTTCCCTGATCTCGCCTCATTTGAGCGCTCTGCTGACTTGATTGCTCACCTCCGCTCGCTCGACTCTAGTTACCGCGCTGCTTGCACTGAGGCACAACTTGCACTGCTTCCTCCTCCCATGGCGATTACTATCTATTTTATCGCCACTAGCCTCCCCGACCGCCTTGCCTCCGTTCGTGACGCGCTTCTCCTGAAGCACCCTAGTGAGCTCACTGTTGACGTCCTTGAGTCTGCACTCAAGGACGTCGAGAGCAACCTCCGCTCCGTCGCCGCTGCCTCTGGTGCTGGGCCACATTACTAGAAGTGACACTCCAGAAGCGAAGGTGAGTGTTGGAAACAAGTGACTTAAGCACTTCTCAAGTGTTGAAACACTCAACACTAACCACAAGCGAAGCAAGCAACAACGAAGCATCGACGAATCAACCGAGGAGGTTGACAGAAACGTAACAGCCGGAAGTTATGCGAAGGTCAAAGATCGCTAACCTTTGACTCGACAAATACAGCGCGACAGCAAGGACAAACAACTGACTCGTTATTGAGCAGTTGCCCGAGTCGTCACTGTATCGAACCGCAACAGCAACAGTAAAACGGTTATTAGCTATATCTCTTCATATCCATTGCACTCTTATAAAACCTTGTATCTTCTTGTTTTAATGCAATCTACTTTGCCCTCACATACTAGCGCAAGGTGGTTCAACACTTGTCATTAAAATGCTTCTGCAACAACAACTTTTCCTACTCAGAGCTTAGCCTTGCAAAGTGTCAAACATATATATATCTGTTATATGTTGTAGGTTTAGGTAGATGCTATGGGGTATAACCCCTTAGGGTTTTCTACTTGTAAAATTCTCTCGATAGTTCACACACACTTGTCCCTTACTCCTAACATGGTATTAAGAGCAATTAGGTCCTTAGGACCGCTTTAGGACCGCGTTTAAGGGCCCACCAACCGCTTCCGCCGGTTACCACCCTACCCCCGCCCTACCCTACGTCGCTTAGCCGTGCGCGTCGCCTCTGCTGGCCAGCGCGCCGCTCGCTAGCACCCCGCGCGTCGCCTTTGCTGGCCAACGGGCCGCCCGCTAGCAGCCCGCGCGACTCGCCCGCTGCTTGCACAGCCCGTGCGCAGCCCCTGCAGGCCCGCGCGCCGCCCGCTAGCAGCCCGCGAGCCCCGTCGTACAGCCCCGCAGCCCCGCACGCCGCCCTCCCTACTGCCGCGGCTGTTTACTGCACCCACGCGCCACTCGTCGCCCTGCCCCGCAGCCCCGTGCGCCGCCCGCCGTGCTGCCGTGGCTGCGTGCCGCATCTGCGCTCCGTCCGGTGTGCTCCCTCGCAGCCCAGTGCACAGCCCGCCCTGCTAAAGCGGCTGCCTCCTGCACCCGCGCGCCGCCCTTCATGCTGCCCTGCAGCCCCGTGCGCCGCCCTCCCTGCTGCCGCAGCCGCCCGCCACACTCTGCGCGCGACCTGCCCTGCAGCCCTGCCGGCCGCCTGTAGCCCCGTGCACCGCCTGCCTCTGCCGCGGCTGCCTGCTACGCTTTAGCACGCCGCTCCTGCCTCTTGCTTTCTATTGCTCTGCCTGCTAGTCTTACGCAGGCAGCTATGGCCACCCTCCGCGTTCTCTCATTCGATGCTGAGGGCCGCCCGATTCAGTTCGAACCCTGGCTAGATGATCTCCACCTGTTCTTAATGAGCGATAGCAAAGACAACGTTTCGCTTTTCGACCACACTTCTGGTGCATCCGTCGCCCCTGCTGCTGCAGCTGAGCTGAGCGTCCGTTCCCACTGGCAGACTCGTGACGCTGCTGCCCGCCTAGCCATTCGCAACCACCTACCGCTAACCGAACTCAAGCATTTTGGCGAGCACAAAACCGCTAAGGCCCTGTACGACGCTGTAGTTGCTCGATACTCCTCCCCTGCCACTGCTGAGCTTAGCCGCCTCATGCTGCCCTACCTGTTTCCTGAGCTGTCCACATTTCCCACCGTTGCCGATCTTATCACCCATCTTCGCACTAGTGACACTCGCCTTCGCGCCGCCCTCCCCAAAGAGTTCTGTGCTAAGAACCCGCCTCCGATGTACTGGACCCTCCACTTCATAGTCACCCGTCTCCCTGACTTGCTTAGCTCGATCAGGGACCACTTTCTCGCTCGCTGTCCCACCGAGCTCACTGTCGACCTCCTAGAGGAGCAACTCCTTGCAGCAGAGAAGAGTATAGTCGCTGTAGCTGCTGCTCGTGGCGCTCCTCGCTCTCCCATCTTTGAGGGGTGCTCTCCCTCTCCCCTCGCCCCCTCCTTCGCTACTGCTGCTGCTGTTGACTTCCTTGGTGCTGAGTCCGCAGGTGCTGCTTCTGCTCCTGGTGGGAGGCGCCGCAACAGCAAGGGCAAGGGAGGCAAGGGTAGTGGAGGTGGCAAAGGGGGGGGGTGGTGGTGGAGGAGGTGGAGGAGGAGGAGGTGGCGGAGGGGCCGGTGGTGGGAGTGTTGGCGGGAGTGGCAGTGGCAGTGGAGGCAGTGGAGGCGGAGGGGGTGGCAGCGGCGGTGGCGGCAGCGGTGGCGGCCGGGGCGGTGGTAGCGGCAGCGGAGGCGGTCGGGGTGGAGGCACTGGCGCTGGCCAGAGCCAGCAGCAGCAGCAGCGTCCCCAGACATCCCAGCAGCTTCGTGAGTGGCTTACTCAGCGTGGGAAGTCTGGGGGTGGTGGTCGCTGCCCTTATGTCATTCGCACAGGTGACCGCAAGGGTCAGACGTGCAACAAGTTCCACACCCAGTACCGCTGCTTCTCCCGCCTTGACGACGCCTGGCGTGAGGAGATGGGCGAGGAGGTAGACCGCCCTCGCTGGCATGAGCTGTATCGGGCTGGTGTAGACATTTTTGCTCTTGACTTTGATGCTATTATCTCTGCTATGTATGCATTGGAAGTTAGTGCTGATGGTGACTGTTACCTGTGTATGCCGCCTGACCCAGGTATAGAAGGTGTTGCCTTAGGAGCACGCGAGTCTGCTCTCTCAGGTACTGCGCCTACTGAGGCCTTGCACACCTTCACACTTGACTCAGGTGCTTCCCGCTGTTTCTTCCGTGACAGTACTGCCCTCACACCACTCCCAGCACCTGTTCCAGTCCGCTTGGCTGACCCCTCCGGGGGCCCAGTTCTTGCACGTTCCTCCACTGTTCTCCCGTGTCCGGCGGTTCCGTCTGGCTCATTGTCGGGTTTCCACCTCCCCTCGTTCTCGACGAACTTGGTGAGCAACGCTGCCCTTCAAGATGCGGGGGTTAATACCTTCACCCCTGCATGGCAGCGTGTGGCGATCTGCACGTGTGCACAGACTGGCCGTCACCTGGCCACGTTCACTCGTCGGCCAGGGTCGAGTCTTTACACACTGACGACTGTGTCTCCTCATGTTGCTGCAGTTGGTTAGGTGTCTGCGTCAGGTTCGGTAGCCTCCCCTTGTGAGTGACGCTCCCTGTCGCACCAGACTCTTCTCTGGCACCACCGTCTGGGTCACCCCTCCTTGCCTCGTCTACGTGGCATGCACCGTCGCCTCCTTGTCTCTGGTCTTCCCAGGTCTCTGCCTCCCCTCCCTCCCTCACCTGCGCCGCCCTGCCTTCCTTGCGTCGAGGGGCGGCAGCGCACCGCTCCTCACTCCTCCTCGTTCCCTCTGACAAAGGCTCCCTTGCAGACCCTCCACATGGACGTGTGGGGCCCAGCCCGCGTCACTGGACAGGGCGGCGCGCGGTACTTTCTGCTGGTTGTCGACGACTACTCGCGTTACACCACGGTCTTCCCCTTGCGCACCAAGGGTGAAGTCCCTGCTGTCCTAATCCCTTGGATCTGAGCAGTTCGTCTCCAGCTCCGCCGCCGGTTCCGGTCGTACCTTCCTGTCCTGCGTCTGCACTCTGACAGAGGTGGTGAGTTCTCCTCCGACCTCTTGCGGGCCTTCTGTCAGAGGGAAGGTATCGAGCAGTCCTTCACGCTTCCGGGCTCACCGCAGCAAAATGGGGTTGCTGAGCGCCGCATTGGTTTGGTCATGGAGATCGCTCGTACCTCCTTGATCCATGCGGCTGCTCCCCATTTCCTGTGGCCGTTTGCAGTCCGGTACGCCGCGCAGCAGCTCAACCTCTGGCCCCGTGTGTCCTTGCCGGACACCTCGCCCACACTGCGTTGGACGGGGGAGGTTGGTGATGCGTCGCGCTTCCGGGTCCGGGGTGCTCGTGCCCTTGTCCGCGATACGTCCGCGGACAAGCTCTCCTCCCACACCATTCCCTGTGTCTTCCTTGGCTTTGTCCCTGACGCGCCTGGCTGGCAGTTTTACCACCCCACCTCGCGCCGGGTCTTCGCCTCTCAGGACGTCACCTTTGACGAGTCGGTTCCTTTCTACCGTCTCTTCCCCTACCGCACTGCCCCTCTCCCCCCCCCCCCGCCACTTTTCCTCGCTCTAGGTCCCCCTCCGGTCGACCCCCTCCCCCCTCAAGGTCCTGCTCCCTCAGGTGTGTCTCAGGTAGACCCACTCCCCTTGGTTGAGCCTTTGGAGGTCACTTCTGACACCTCTGGCCCGGCTGAGGGGGGTGACGTTGCTGCTGACGCCCCGGCGGCGTTCCGCCGCACACCACACTTGGAGACCCCTCCGGGTTTCCCGCCGCGACCGTCCTCGCCGCCTCTGCAGCCGGTTCCTGTTGACTCTGGTGCTGCTGGGGGTGGTGCTACTCGGGGTGCTGCGTCTGGGGGTGCTGAGCCTGTGCGTGAGGTGCTGGGGGGTGTGGAGCCTAGGGGTACTGGGCCTTCGAGTGCGGAGCCTGAGGGTGCTGAGCCGGAGGGTGCTGGGTCGGGGGGTGCTGAGTCTGCCAGCGTTCCTCAGGGTCTTGTTTCCCGGCGGGGACCTCTCTCACCACAGCAGCTACGAGAGTGGCTTGCGTGGCGTACCCGCCTGAGGAGTCGTGTTGCTGGAGCTGGAGGTCCTGCTGCTGGAGGTACTCCTGCTACGGATACTGAGACTGGAGCTGCTGGAGCTGGGGACTCGTAGTGGAGGCGCTGTGAGTGCTGGTGTTTCTGGTTCTGGAGGTACTGGAGCTGCCCGGACTGGAGGTGTCGCGGGAGGCGCTGGAGCTGGAGATCCTGGAGCTGGTGCTGTCGACCCTGGAGTTGGAGACCCTGGAGCTGGAGGTGCTGGTTCTGGGGATCCTGCTGCTGGGGGTGCTGGTTCTGGGGGTGCTGCTGCTGGAGGTACTGGGGCTGGAGATACTGGAGTTGGAGGTGCTGGTTCTGGGGGTGCTTCTGTTGCTGGTTCTGGGGGTGCTTCTGCTGCCGGTGCTGGAGCTGGAGCTGCTGGCGCTGGAGCCCCTGGAGCTGCTGACGCTGGAGGCTTTGGAGCTGCTCGCGCTGGAGGCGAGGGTGCTGCTGGTGCTGGAGGTACTGTGACTATTCGAGCTGGTGGTGCTACTGGTACTAGAGGTGCTGGTCGTCCGAGCGCTACTGGTCGCGGAGGTGCTCGCGCTTCGGGAGCTGGAGCTGCCGGGGCTAGTAGTGCTGCGGACCCTGGAGCTGGTGGTACAGCACAGTCGCGCCTGTTCTTCGCTCCGCCGTCTCCGTCGTCCCTGCCGCCGCCTGACACCGTGCTTCGCCAGGTTCTTACCCTCCCGTCTTCTACTGGCCTCCCGTTACAGCCTGGCTCTCCGCTGCCTGCGCCGTCTCCTTACCCTGTGCAGTCTGAGTCCCCTTCAGAGCGTCGTGAGCCTGCGTCTCGTCCTGCCTCACCTGTTCGCACTGTTCACACTGCTCGTCGTGTGCCTTATCCACGTCCTCCCCCTGTGCCAGGTGTTCACACTATGGCACTTCGTCCTTCCTCTGTTCCTCTGCGCGTTCCCCTATCGTCTCCTCCTGCGTCCTCTCTGCCTGACGTTCCAGACCCTGAGTCTGACCGGTTTCGTGCTGAGCACCCTACTGTCACGCGTCTTCTAGCCACTGTTGTCACTGACCCGTCGTTTGAATCTGCTGTAGCGTCTGCCTTGGTTGCTGAGCTTGTCGACTTTGCTGCTGCCTGTCGTCTAGACTACGCCGCTAGTCTTGTTGCTGAGTCTGAGTCTGTCTGTCCTCTTGTCTGATGACTGTCTGTCTATCTGTCTGTCGGGGGTGAGTGTGCTCTTGGCACGGACGTCCTTGAGGACAGGCAGGAGGACCTTGAGTGTCTTGCAGCCGCTGCGCCTCATCTCGTGGCCATGCTGCTTGCCCCTGAGGGAGACCCGGATGCACCAGACATCCCGACCCCGCGCTCTTATGCTGAGGCGATCGCGGGTGAGTACTCCTCTTAGTGGCAGACAGCCATGGACGCAGAGATGGCATCCTGGAAGTCCACAGGAACATACGTTGATGAGGTTCCCCCTCCTGGGGCGAACATCGTCGATGGCATGTGAATTTTCAGGGTGAAACGGCCGCCGGGTTCTCCGCCTGTCTTCAAGGCCCGTTACGTGGCTAGAGGTTTCAGTCAGCGTGAGGGAGTTGACTTCTTCCAGACCTTCTCCCCTACCCCGAAGATGACCACTCTTCGGGTGCTGCTGCACGTTGTCGCTCAGCGTGACTACGAGCTTCACTTTCTTGACTTCAGCACAGCCTTCTTACAGGGCAGCCTGCACGAGGAGATCTGGCTGCGCAGCCCACCTGACTTCACTGGGTCGTTCCCTCCTGGTACCTAGTGGAGCCTCCGGCGGCCAGTCTACGGTCTCCGCCAGGCGCCTCGTGAGTGGCACGACACACTGAGGACTACACTTGCGGCTCTTGGGTTTGCTCCTTCGACTGCTGACCCGTCACTGTTCCTGCGCACCGACACTTCGCTGCCGCCGTTCTACATCCTCGTGTACGTCGACGAATTGGTCTTTGCCACTGCTGACACTGAGGCTCTCGCTCAGGTGAAGTTGGAGCTGCAGAAGAGACACACGTGCACAGACCTGGGTGAGCTGCGCAGCTATCTTGGCTTGCAGATCACCCGGGACAGAGCACGCCGCACCATCACCCTGACTCAGTCACACATGGTGCAGCAGGTCCTTCAGCGCTTCGGCTTCTCCTGGTCCTCCCCACAGGCCACTCCTCTGGCTACAGGTCACTCGCTCTCAGCTCCACCTTCGGACGAGTCCGTAGAGCCGAGTGGTCCTTACCCAGAGCTAGTTGGCTGCCTCATGTACCTGATGACTTGCACTCGTCCTGACCTCGCGTACCCTCTTGGTCTTCTAGCTCGCTACGTGGCTCCCGGTCGGCACCGACCTGAGCACATGGCTGCTGCTAAGAGGGTACTGCGCTACTTGTGCAGTACATCAGGCATGGGGCTAGTGCTTGGAGGGAAGAGCCCAGTTGTTCTCACTGGGCACTCAGACGCGTCTTGGGTTGACGACCAGACTACACAGCGGTCGTCACAGGGTTACACCTTCAGCCTTGGCTCTGGCTCTGTTTCTTGGCGGTCTACACGCTCGTCTTCTGTTCTCAGCTCCAGTTGTGAGGCTGAGATCTATGCCACCGCCATGGCTGCACAGGAGTTACGCTGGCTCACCTACCTGCTGACTGGCTTGGGAGAGCGGCCTCGTTCTCCTCCAGTTATGTACGTCGACAACAAGGCGGCCATTGCCTTGTGTGAGGAGCACAGACTGGAGCACAGAACGAAGCACATCGCTCTGCGTTACTTCCTGGCTCGAGAGTTGCAGCAGCGAGGTCAGCTTCGTCTTCGTCACGTGGCCACTCGGGCCAACACTGCTGATATATTCACCAAGGCGCTTCCGTCTGGTGATCATCAGCGCTTTTGTACCCTGTTGGGCCTTGTGCCTACGTTTCCACACTTGCTGTAGTCCTTGCTTGTACTGTGATCTATATATATACCTGCATGCTGGCTCTTGCTAGGTAGTCATCACTGTACTGTTGTTGTTGCATATATATCTCTGCATGTGAACTGGCCTTGTGGCCCTTTGCTTGTGCTCAGAGTGTGTGGTGACGTTGTGATCCACCCTGAGCTTGCTTTGCTTTTCTTGACTGGTCTTGTGACCTCTGGCTCTCCCCCACTTTGTCTATGGGGGTGTGTCAAACTATATATATATCTGTTATATGTTGTAGGTTTTGGTAGGCTGTAGTGGTGTAGATGCTATGGGGTAAAACCCCTTAGGGTTTTCTACTTGTAAAATTCTCTTGATAGTTCACACACACTTGTCCCTTACTCCTAACACAAAGATCCTCAGGGCTTTTCTCAGCCCAACAATATTCTATGCCAAGAGGTGGCCCGAGGGCTAGTTCGATTACCCGCAGGACCGCGTGACCAAGGGCTTTGCCTCCCCCTCCTTCTTGCCCCCCTAATCTCTTCCCACTACCCCCCCCCTAATTCCTTTCATGTGAGCTTCATTCTATGCCAAGAGGTTGCCGGAGGGCCAGTTTGACTACCTGCGAGACCGCGTGACCAAGGGGTTTGGGCGCAACGCGAGCAACTGGGGGTACAGCAACATTCTGGGGCGGCCGTGGGCGGATGTGGGACGAGAGCAAGTACTTTAAGAACGGCGTCATGTCCGTCTTTGCTGAGGTGAAGATATTGGAGGCCGCATGCCGCTGGCCCGTTGTAGGGGGGTGAGGTTGGGGGCGATAGCGGGGGGTACAGCGAGCAACCGGGGGGTTGGGGGGGGACCTAGAAGCTAAGCGCTGTCTTGTGTTGTATTTGCTGGGGTGCAAAACACAGTGTGAATGAAGGTATCCTAGCACATGCAGTTAGTGGGGTTTGAAGTCTGTACTTTGTTTCCAAGACTCGCCGTTTTTTTTTTCCTTGCCCGCACAGAATCATTAGCATTAAGATACCGTACAAGTGAGACAAAACAATACATCAAAAGATTCGGTGGCATTAGGTAAAAACTGCTGTTACATCATTCCTGGCCTGTGCTCGTTGACCTAGTACTCAAGTGTGTCCTCCAACACGGATGGAGAAACTCATGTCAAAGCGTTACAAAAGAAAACGTCCGCGCTAAAATACAAGGTGGTTCCGGCAGCAGAGTGCGGCACGTTGAAGCTGCAAGGACATAGAGCAGAGCCGGTGACATCAGCAAATCATGTTTTCACCGGAAAAAAAAAATATATACAGAAAAACAGAATGTGTAAATGCCAGAGAATATATTTACGTACCGGAATCCCTGGCCTAAGTAAGTGAAATCGTATAGCTTCTTTCCGGGTTCACAGTTGAGAAAGGCATCCTTTGAAGGATATCGATAAAGGCGCTTTCTGTTGAAAAATCCGGCGTTCAAAAACACTGTTTGGAGTACCCAAAAAGAATGGACAGAAATAAGTGAGGGTGAGAGAAAGTGCAACAGAGAGAGAAAGTGCAACAGAGAGAGAGAGTGCAACAGAGAGAGAGAGTGCAACAGAGAGAGAGAGAGAGTGCAACAGAGAGAGAGAGAGAGAGAGAGAGAGAGAGAGAGAGAGAGAGAGTGCAACAGAGAGAGAGAGAGAGAGAGAGAGAGAGAGAGTGCAACAGAGAGAGAGAGTGCAACAGAGAGAGAGAGTGCAACAGAGAGAGAGAGAGAGAGAGAGAGAGAGAGAGAGAGAGAGAGAGAGAGAGAGAGAGAGAGAGAGAGAGAGAGTGCAACACAGAGAGAGAGTGCAACAGAGAGAGAGAGTGCAAAGAGAGAGAGAGAGCAACAGAGAGAGAGAGTGCAACAGAGAGAGAGAGAGTGCAACAGAGAGAGAGACTGCAACAGAGAGAGAGAGTGCAACAGAGAGAGAGAGTGCAACAGAGATAGAGAGTGCAACAGAGAGAGAGAGTGCAACAGAGAGAGAGAGTGCAACAGAGAGAGAGAGAGAGTGAGAGAGAGAGAGAGAGAGAGAGAGAGAGAGAGAGAGAGAGAGAGAGAGAGAGAGGAGAGAGAGAGAGAGAGAGAGAGAGAGAGAGAGAGAGAGAGCAACAGAGAGAGAGAGAGTGCAACAGAGAGAGAGAGTGCAACAGAGAGAGAGAGTGCAACAGAGAGAGATAGAGAGAGAGAGAGAGAGAGAGAGAGAGAGAGAGAGAGAGAGAGAGAGAGAGAGAGAGAGAGAGAGAAGAGAGAGGAGTGCAAAGAGAGAGAGAGAGTGCAACAGAGAGAGAGAGAGTGCAACAGAGAGAGAGAGAGTGCAACAGAGAGAGAGAGTGCAACAGACAGAGAGAGTGGCAACAGACAGAGAGAGTGCAACAGAGAGAGAGAGTGCAACAGAGAGAGAGAGAGTGCAACAGAGAGAGAGAGTGCAACAGAGAGAGAGAGAGTGCAACAGAGAGAGAGAGAGAGAGAGAGAGAGAGAGATAGAGAGAGAGAGAGAGAGAGAGAGGAGAGAGAGAGAGAGAGAGAGAGAGAGAGAGAGAGAGAGAGAGAGAGAGAGAGAGAGAGAGAGAGAGAGAGAGAGAGACGTACCAATGGTATCGAATGGCTGCACCTTCTTTGGCACAAGTTGTCGAGTAAAAAAGGCAAAAGGGACAACATATACCAGTCCCTGCAGCCAAAAGCAAACGGATGGGGATTATTTGCGCAAGGCGCCCTAAAAAAACAAGGACTGGAGTCTAGATTCAAGGCGGGTTTGAGGCACTCCTGTAGTCAAAACCGATCATGTGAGTTACTGAGGCTCCTAAGACAGATTCAGAGCAAAAAGAGCAGCAGTGGGGGTCTGGGCGTCGTAAAGGAATGGCATGCTCACGCACCTTGGGTCTGGTCCTGGTGGGCTTGCTGCTATTAATCCCTCTGGCTATGGCGCCAGTGGTGGTGGCGCTGTCAGCGTAACCAGTGCTGCTGCCAGTGTTGGCGGTGCTGCTGCCAGTGTCGGCGGTGTTGCTGCCAGTGCCAGTGGTGGCGTTCTGGGCAACGGTGGAGCGGGAACTGGGTACGAGGCGAACCGCCTCCGAACCTGCGCATACAGCACGAGCGACCTGTCAGAAACGGGATGCGGAGCGTGGCGGCCCCGAGGGCAATCGAGTCTGCGAGTTTGCCTAGGACCAGCGAGGTGTTATAATGGATCACAGGCGCGCTAGATCATGCACTTTCTAGCTGGGTCACACATGTGGGACAGGTGAAACCCTTGGAAGCTCTTCCACCGTCCCAAGAAATAAATATAGAAAATAAAAGAACTCGTGAACGACACGGATCATCATGCATGATAAAGAGTCCCCAAGGCGATGGGCGAACTAGGAAGGGAAATGTGTGCGAGAGAGAGTCCGGGCGGACTTACAGCATACAAGAACGAGAAACACGGAAGCCAAGCAGAGACCAGGAAGACGCGCCATTTTTGTCCTACTCTGCAAAGCATACTACGAGCCTATCCGAGCTGTTTCGAATGCGTTGCTAAACTGACAGCGTCGATTGACTCGCTCATGCACAGCCCTTCCGTTATATCCAGTGAAAGGGAGGGCAACACCAGTGAAGTATGTAGACGAAGAAATGCTGCGAGGAGGCCCGAAGTTGCGTACTTGCCGATGCGGTTTCCTTGGGTTTTTCACTTTATAACACGGTTTGAGAGAGTAACCAGATGGTAATACAGCAAACCGAAGTATACTAAGCGGTTCGATTGGGTTCAGAATTGTACATGGTTGTAAAGAGCAACCTGATGGTAACACAGCAAACCGAAGAATACCGTGATGAGAGACGTGGGAGAAAGCAGCAGGAAGATTGGCGAGGCGCACCAACCTCATGAGGTTGGTTCCAAATGCCGATTCGTTCTCAGCCGCAAAAAACACACACCACGCGGTTTCGACACTACGGGCTTATTTCTTCTACGGGAATTCATTGCTTGAAGTGCCTCACTGCGAAGGAGCGAGCACTCCAATCGGTGAATACCTCCAAAATAAGCACGGTACAAACCGGATTAGCTAAATTGAAAACACGACCTCAAGAAGGGGGCTTTCTGCTGATCCGTGTGTGGATCCGCGCAAAGCACGACCACCAATGAGAAGACGATAACGCCAACGGTATTGGCCAGGCCGTCCGACTTTTTGTCACAAGTCGGAAGCAGGCGGCACGCTGTTTCTACGCTGACGGTGCAATTTCCCCTTGCACAAGCTGCCATTTCTCTTGACCTTCCCAGACCATCGAATTCATTGCATCCCCCCAGGTGCCCACAGCTACCCCGTGGCGGGTACCCCGGGGTGCTTGTCTAGGTGACCCGCAGGTACAGTAACCTCGGCAAAAATTCACTGGTGACCTCGAGGTTAGCCACAGGTGGTGACCCACAGGAAACCATCGGGGGACCACATGCCGAGCCTTTTGGAACGAATCACACGCGAGCCGCGTCCTCGATGTGAAATACTTCGCCAACACCAATGAATATCGCCTACAGTAAAATACCCGACACTATAATAAAACCGTCAAACATATGTTACTGTATTGAAAATCGAATACCGTTATAGACATGATTACAATTGATAAAAACGAAACATAATCCTGCTTCATATAGTTAAAAACTAAATGCCATCATTCAAAATTATATATAGCTCTTCACAATAATTATCACTTCCATGATTCAAATCATAATATTTGAACTATAACATTGTAAAACAATCTTACTATCTGAACACTTTCTAACATGCAAACTGCTGCGATCTGAAGTTGATCGTGCCTAGGATCTACTCGGGAAGGTTCGCACGCAGTGAAGTTGAGTTGGTGGGCCCTTGACCTCAATAGCAGAGTGAATGTAAAATGCTTTGAGATGAATTAAAACATGCAAATACAGCAAATATAAATATGAGTACAGGGAAGACGAAACGACCTAGCTAGCCATGTACTCTAAGGGGTACATTCCCTTATTCAAATTCATTCCCAACCGTGCGGCGCGTACAGTTACGAAAACTGTTCCCGCCAAAACCATCCTGCCTGCAGCTGCCCGGTGTCGTTTGCTCCGACGGTCCAGATGCGTCCCTACCGTCTGACGCTTCAAGTCAATCCCTAACCGTCTGACGCTTCGCGTACGTTCTTCGATACTGCATGCTTCTCTTTGCTGCGGTGAGGAGTGCACAGTAATAATAGTTAAATATTACTATTCGTTGTCAAACATTGTATGTTTATATTGTGTAGGCTGTAGTGGGTTACACCTTAGGGGGTACACAAAGTTAGGGTTTCCTACTTGTACCAAACTCTGAGCTAGTTCATTCATTCCTCGTTCAGTTATTCTGACATGGTTTCAGAGCAGGTCCTTCGCTAGGACCTAAGTTTTTTTTTCGGGCCCACCTCTACTACCTACCTACCTACTGTCGGAGTGCTGCGTTAGCGCCTCCCCCTCCGCGCCTTCGTGCGCCCTCGTGTACGGCCCCTTAAGGCCCCGTCGACCCCGCACGCTGCCCCTTAGTGGCCCCGTCGCACCCGCGCGCGCCCTGATTGTGGCCCCGCGGCCCCGTCGACCCACCCGCGCGCACCTCGTTTAGCGGCCCCGCGGCCCCGTCGCCCCGTCGACCCACCCTTGACGCCCCGCGCGCACCTCGTTTAGCGGCCCCGCGGCCCCGTCGCCCCGTCGACCCTCACCTAGCGGCCCCGCGGCCCCGTCGACCCACCCGCGCGCACCTCCTTTAGCGGCCCCGCGGCCCCGTCGCCCCTCACTTAGAGGCCCCGCGGCCCCGTGCGCACCTCGTGTCGCGACCCCGCGGCCCCGTCGACCCACCCCTGGTGGCCCCGCGGCCCCATGCACGCCCCGCCTAGAGGCCCCGCGACCCCGTCGACCTGTGCGCACCCCGCCTAGAGGCCCCGCGACCCCGTCGACCCGTGCGCCCCCCGCATAGAGGTCCCCGCGGCCCCGTCGTCCCCGCGCGCGCCCCGCATAGAGGCCCCGCTGGCCCCGTAGACCCCGCGCACCGCCTCTTCGCGGCCCCGTCGCTTCTACTGATACTGCTACTGCTGCTGCTGCAGCTGCTACCGCTACTACTGCTACTGCTACTGCTGCTACTATTATGGCTAGTCCGCCTGTACTCGCTTTCGATGCTGAGGGCCGTCCAGTGAAGTTCGAAACCTGGCTAGATGACCTGCATCTCTTCCTACAGCTCACTGCCAAGGAGGACATCTCACTGTACGATCATGCCCTCGGTCACGCTACTGCCCCTCCTACCACTGCAGACAGCACTCAGCGCTCACAGTGGCAGACTCGTGATGCCCACGCTCGCTTCGCCATTCGCAACTCCCTGCCACTAGATGAGCGCGAGCACTTTGGCCAGCACAAGACTGCTAAGGACCTGTACACTGCTGTAGTTGCTCGTTACTCCTCACCTGCCTCTGCCGCACTAGGCCGCCTCACCCTCCCCTACCTGTTCCCCGACCTGGCCTCCTTCAGCACAGTCGCTGACCTCTTCACCCACCGCGCTGCTATGCCTGACGAGTTCCTTGCCAGCAACCCCCCCCCGCTCTGGATCACGCTTTACCACATCGTCACCCGCCTCCCTGACTCTCTGCGCGCAGTCAGGGATCACTTCCTCGCTCGCTCTCCCACTGAGCTCACCATTGCCCTCCTCGAGAAGGAATTGCTTGCAGCTGAGGCGAGCATCGTCGCTGTAGGCACCTCTCGTGGTGACCCCCGCACCCCGTTCTTTGAGGGGTGTTCTCCTTCCCCTCTCCTCCCCTCTGTCACCTCTGCTGCTGCTGTCGACCTCCTTGGTGCTGAGAAGGTCGGGGCTGCGTCTGCTCCGAGCGGGCGCCGCAGGGGCAAAGGGGGCAAGGGTGGAGGTGGTGGCGGGGGAGGCGGGAGTGGTGGCGGTGGGGGTGGCGGTGGGACTGGAGAGGCTAGTGGCGGCAGTGGGGGTGGTGACAGCAGCGGCGGGAGCGGTGGCAGGGGCGGAGGCGGCAGCGGAGGCGGAGGTGGTCGTGGCGGCGGCAGGGGTGGAGGTGGCCGGGGCGGTGGCGGCGGCGGTGGTGGTCGTGGAGGCGCTGGCGGTGGACAGAGTCAGCAGCCCGCCCCGTTGCTTCAGGCCGCCCGTGAGTGGTATGCGCAGCGTGGCTTTACCTGCACGTATGTCATTCGCACTGGTGACCGCACTGGCCAGCAGTGTGGGAGGCCGCATCCCACACAGCGTTGTTTCGCGCGCCTTACTGACGCGTGGCGGGCCCAGTTTCCTGATGCCACTGACCTGCCCCACTGGGCTGATCTGGAGAAGAAGGGAGTTGATATCTGGGCTTTAGACTTTGATGCTATTCTCACTGCCATGTATGCGATGTTTACTAGTGGAGAGGGTGCTCAGTACTTGCGTGTTCCGCCCGACCCGGGCATTCTGCCCAGTCCGGCCGCCGCTCTAGGTGCTAGTGAGTCTGCTGCCCCAGGTCCTGGTGAGGCTGCTGCTCTAGGTGCTAGTGAGTCCGTCCCCCCTGGTACTGAGTCGACTGCAGCACTGCACACCTTCACCCTGGACTCAGGTGCTTCTCGCTGTTTCTTTCGTGACCGCACTGTCCTTGAGCCTCTTGCTCGGCCAGTTGCTGTCTCCCTCGCTGACCCCTCTGGGGGTCCGGTCGTTGCGACCTCCTCTACTGTCCTTCATTGTCCTGCGGTCCCGTCAGGCACACTGTCAGGCCTCTACCTCCCCTCGTTCTCTACGAACTTGGTGGCAGGTAGTGCGCTCCAGGACGGGGGTGTTCACCAGTTCACCCCTGCTTACGAGCGCGTGACCCACTGCACGTGTGCTCGGACGGGCCGTCACCTGGCTACCTTCACTCGGCAGCCGGGGTCGGACCTGTACACACTGACCACTGAGTCCCCTCAGGTAGCTGCGTCCGCGTCTGCGTCTGCGTCAGGTCAGCTGTCCGCCCCCTGCTCGTGTCGCTCTCTGGCGCATGAGACTGTCCTCTGGCACCACCGCCTTGGTCACCCGTCTGTGCAGCGCCTTCGGGCCATGCACAAACGGGACCTTGTTGCTGGTCTTCCCAGGGTTCTCCCTCCCCTCCCACCCTCGCCTGCTCCTCCCTGTCTTCCCTGTGTCGAGGGGCGGCAGCGCGCCGCTCCTCACTCCTCCTCCTTCCCCCCGACGACTGCTCCTTTGCAGACGCTCCACATGGACGTGTGGGGCCCAGCCCGCGTCCGTGGTCAGGGTCAGGAGAGGTACTTCCTGATTGTTGTTGACGACTTCTCGCGCTACACCACGGTCTTCCCCTTGCGCACCAAGGGTGACGTCCCTGATGTCTTGATCTATTGGATCCGCAGATCTCGTCTCCAGCTCCGTGAGCGTTTCCGCTCCGACTTCCCTGTCCTCCGTCTGCACTCTGACAGAGGTGGGGAGTTTTCCTCTGGCCTCTTGGAGGCCTTCTGTCAGCAGGAGGGCAT